GCGAGACACAGTCCCCATAATGGGGTGGTGTTGTCTCCTCATATTCGCTACTACGCCGGAACTCCATAGTGGCAGACTTGGAACGTTGGAACAATGTCCTCACTCCAACACATTTGCTCCCCGTGCCAGTTGCTCACAGCGCGCCACCCGTAAGCCGCATCTACGCAGGAACTGAGCCCGAACGCAACGACGCAAAGGATCACCATCAGCACCATCATCAACACTTATCATCGTGGAACTCGGCCCAGGGGCCACATCCCACCAGCAGCGTTGAGTTTCCTCAAAGCTTGAATCTGGATGTGTTTGTTTGTGGAGAGGTGGTGTCGAGGAAACGCAACGCAATTTGGACGGGGCGGAAAAGCAAACTCGGACCCCACACGAACGCTATCCGCGGGTCTTTCCCAAGTACTGCGGTGGGATTTTTTGGCCTTCCACCGTGAGAGATGTTCCTGTGGACCACTGGCCAGGAGAGAGTGGAACCTGGCCCAAAACACTGGGACTGCTCCACCGACCCGCGAGTCATTGTTCGGTCACGTGCAATTTTTTAGGGACCTCTCCCGTGGGAAAATAGGGAAAACTGGCTGTTTTCCCAATCGCCTGAATTTTCGGAGGTTGGGCCTGACGACGACTTTCATTGATAAACTGATCGGCGGCCGTTTCTTTTCAGCCTCCAAAAAGGTCGGTGGGCCACCGGAGGCCCGCTATTTTCCCACGCGCCAAAGGTACTAGTGGTTTAACGGGCCGCAGATGGTACCGTCACCTGCTGCAACGGAAACACATGCGTGGACGTCATGGCGTTGCGTCGCTGGTGACGGGGGTGGTCTGGAGGACGTGTTGCACACACCATAGCCTTCGAGCCGACGCAGAAGACGAAGAGGTGGATGCGGGCAGCTTTCTGAGGCAGGAGCAGGGTGCAAAAGGGCACACACACACAGCCATGCCATTCACCTGTGCGGAGATGTCACCGACCGAAGTGGTGTTGATGTGCGTCGCTACCGTGCGATGGCTGAGGATGAGGCAGTACGTGACATTCATGGTTGCACTCATCATCCTCCACGTGGCAATGCACATCGTTGCCTCGTATACTACATTCGCAATGGCCTTCATTTTGGCGTTGGACAAGGCACGCAGGCAGGACCATGGGAGAGGTCAGCATTTCAGAATCCGCGTCGGCGACGTTTTTGGGTGCCTCCTCGTGTTGGGGGAACATGGGAGGAGCTGCTGATGGAGGGTGCGGAGCATGATGAGAAGTTTCGGTTGTACACGAGGCTCACGAAACCGACGTTTGTCCACGTTTTGGCCCGCATTGCTCCACACAACCAAAGGCAAGTCACCCTATGGCAACGGACTTGAAGTTCGCATTCGCCCTGTACAGATGGGCGACAGGTGGGTATTACCGTCAGTGGGAACGACTTTGGCACCGGTCTACACAGCGCTATCTGATGCACTCATGATGTTTCCAATGCCCTCCTGCGCGAGTACGGGGACAAACTGCAGTGGTCGAATGAGGCACCTCTGCAAGCAACACTGGACAACTTCAAGGCGAGAGGATTCCCCGGTTGTGTCGGGCTTGTTGATTGCACCCATATCTACATGAACAAGCCATGTGGAGGAGAGGACTCGTACTACGACAGAACGTCACAATACTCAATCGTCGCTCAAGTCGTGTGCGATGAAAATTTGTGAATTCTTGATGTGTGCGTGGGGGTTCTAGGTTCCATCCATGACTCGCGCGTCTGGCGG